CGTGATTGGCGGAGAAAGAGAGCTATGAGATGCTATGAGTGAACAAACACAACTCCACGTGAAATTCTCACTAAAGGAAACCCCGCTGAAAGTACTGCCGCCTGCTCGAAGGCTTCTTGTGGTGGCGCTTTGTAGTCTCGCTTTGTTGTGGAGATCTCTGGCTCCTGCAGCGCCGCACAGTGCAACTTAACTTGCTCTGCATGGATCTGCATGTTACCGGCTGTGGACGTTCCAACTAGGCTCCCGGCCACTTTAGTGTTGGATTGGGCCCAGACACCTGAAGTTTGCAGCTGACGTTGGTAACACAATGGCAATGGTTGGAAGAAGTGTCTGCTGTTTAAATATGTTTAAGCAATGCTGCCCATGGATCCTGCTGCCCGTGTGAGCTTGTCATGTTCCATCAGAGTCGCATTTCTCAATGGTTTCGGAAATCAAAGTGTTGCAACACATTCAGTCTCTTTCAGTCCTTTTGGTCTCCAGTATTTTTGGGGCTTCAAAATGCTCGTCACTTGTGGTTAGAAAAAGCTGAGCCAGTGGCTTGCCGTCTGCTGAGGGGTAGGATCTTCCATCCTGGCACAAGGGGAAAAGTTCTCTGGTGACAATGATGTTTTTCTTGACGTAAGCAAACGCCGTCCAGCAACTTGACTGTTGAAATTAGGCCATGAAATAAGATCTTGCTTTGATGAGATCTCGATGTATAAATCGCAGAAATAAGAAGTTTTACGTGAGTTGTCATGCCAGGGTGTAGTACCCAATTCTTCTTGGACAGAAAAAGTTGACATACGTTTATACAAGCAGACTTGCCACACGTACCCACTCACACTCAGATCAAGGACTCCTTGGTACGTTGCTGTGCTGCACCTTCTCTCCTGGCAGCAGAGTTTGGAATATATTGGAATATTGGATTCATGTTGGATTCGTTTCCTCACAATTTCATTCATTCCACTTTTCCCATGTCCCTGGAGTCTCCCTATGTTCAAAGGTTTCAGCACTTCCCTGATCTGCCCATATCATCCCATACAAATATAATATTATATATTATTATTCATATATCATATATCCCATACATTCCCATAATACATTCCCATACTATCAATCATATGGTCCTATCATACTATATGCCTCACCTTTGCGAGGCCTCACCTGGGAGTTCCAGGCCTGAACCAGCTGCCTGGACCTGTTTCAAGGATCGTCGCCTGGCGTGACATGATGTTGTTTTTCATGTAATTTCACATCCAAATGGGTCCAAGTGGCAGGACCTTCCTGTCACGAATTGACCAACAAAAGGATCGGAGGTAGTCTACATCCGGAAAAAACGCTGTGGTTGCTGTATTCGCTTCGGCACTGTTAGATGTCCTGTGCATTTTGATGCGGCAGTGTCAACTAAACAGCGCATGAGTTTGGTCCTGAAAACTATGAGCAGGCAATCTTCTCCATGCAGCATCATGCAACCGATGCAACTGTCAGGTCCGTCATCACCTGTTTCTCTAGGGCACCTCATTGGTCTTCCCACTACACTGGACGGCAATCCAGCTGCTCCACTGACAGATGTGGCTGCTGGTGCAGCCTGTGGTGCCTGGAGAAAAAAACTCCAATTTGCTTGGGTACAGTACTACAAAGGCACATAAATGTACTACAGTATCTATGTGATTTTGTAGTACTGTAACATGTAGCAAGTACGGTCGTGTCTGAGCATTGTATCCACTGATATCCACTGCCTTTTTCTGTACAGTACACGTGCCTCTGACACGCTGGACATGCCATCCTCCCCTGGGCTGGAGCTTTTCGTAGCATCCTGACGGCTATCATGCAATAGTTGTCTCGCAGTATGGCTCAATTGAATTCAATTGATTAAATCTTGATCTTTTTGTACTGCTCTGCTCCTAATTCAACCTTCACCATCTTTCACTCTGGAATCTCGTCAACTGTCTTTCGAAACATATCAAAGTCGTATCAAAGTCATATGATGGTGGCGTGGCAAACTTTCAAAGTCTGCTTGAGGCGGCACCTCTGCCAAATGCTTTGGTGGAGTTCTAAGGATCTGCACCTAGGCCGGTTTGCCGGTTTGCCAAATCAATCTGTTGAAATGTACAGCCAACTAATTCCCAAAAATTAGGGTGACTTCATATATCACTCAGTGCCCAACTCGTCGACCACTGGCACTACGAGAGGCTGATCCCCTGGCCGCAAAAAGTGCAGAAAGTCGGCTTTGAGCGCTTGGATTGTTTGGTTGCTTTCGCATCTTGCCACGTTCATTGAGTAGTCAATTCCATGTTGCCCAATTATGCCCGATTTACAAAGTCAGCAATTTGCCATGTTTGCCACATGTGAACCTCGCTGCTGACTTTGGCAATTGTGCTCCTGCGAGGGGAGTCCACTCAGGCTGGCTGGCTTTCCGGATATGCACGGGCATTCGGTGCCACGTCTCAACTCTATGCACCCATCGCTCCAAAATCAACACATCCAAACAAGATTCAAAAATATAGTATGTCATGGCGTGAGATTATTACTGTATGGTTTCTTAAATGTGACTCATGACCACTCTGCATGATTACATCTGTATCATCCATATCACATATCTTTTCAAAGGTTTCACTGCATGAAGATAAGGCAGTTTTGGAGGGTATAGCGAAAGCGGAAGCTGCCTGGCCGCGGTGCAGCTTGCTTTCGCGCAGCTGGCTGAGCCGAAGATGGGCGACCTGTGATGTCGTCTGATGTCAGGTCTGTGGTTTCTGCGATTCCCTCAGGTGCTGTGGCCAAATGATTTCCTGAGACTCAAACCTGTTCGTGGCCTGACACACCAACATGAGTCACACGAGGAATGCACGAGGAGTAGTGTATGTTTGATTTCCTTCCCTTGCACATTTGGGACCACTGCTCTTTCGCAGCCCTGCCCAAAACATGTCATCGGAGGTCCTTTTCACATCTTTTATCCAATGCCGCAATGGCAATACCCAACAGAATTCATTCACACGTATTGACTCCTTTCACAGTTTCCTTCACACTCTCAGAGTGTCCTCCTCGTATCTCCTCGCGACGTGTATGCATATAAAAAATATGTAATATATATATATATAACAGGTGTATGCAATTAATCGTGTAAATTATGGTAATTATATCTAATTATGTATATATATATATAAACCAGACACCATCAGACTCTACTGTAGGTATCATTTATATCTGTGAGTAGTAGTAGTAGTACTGATTAGATTAGCATTGTGTTGTGTGTGTGTGCGCGTGGCTGTGTGTAAGAATGGATTGTAGATGCACACGAGATCGCCATGAGGAACTATTAGATACGTATGCGCAATTGTTTGAAATCGGTGTTCGGGAAGGTTGAATCAAAACTGGAGCATCGTTTCAAAGAGACATTCAGTCTGCAGGAATCTGCAGGACATCTCGAAGCCAGTACTTGTGGGCTGAAAACTGAGCATCCAACGTTCCAACTTGCTTCTCCTGCCTAGCTTGACGAGGCTGGTACCGGCTTGCCTTCGGCCCTTCCGCACTTGGGCCAACATCGTACTCATCCGAAGCATGATTGCCTGCAACCTCTCCAAACCTATCTGCAGTGTCCACGGTCTGCCCTTGTGGCGGTTGTGACATCTGAGGCATTTGGCTGGCTTCCTCAGCCTCCCTGAAAGATCTAGGGACAACGGCCCAAGCAGGAAAATGTCTCATGGAAAACTGCTCCGTCTCAGCATCAACCTTCGAAGACTCTGACATCTCTGGCCGTGAATGCTCGGACCGCCACAAGGGATCAATGCAATCAAATGGACCTGAGCCAGAAAAGGGTGCACCATTGCACCATGCCTTCCTGGACGACTCCCCTTCGAAGGGACCAGTGACTGGTGCAGGTGGCCCACTCGCAGTTGCATCTTTGTCTAGCCGCTCACGCTGCCAAAATTCCAGTGGTGGTGCCCTGTAGTCCATGCGACTGGTCGAGGAAGCTTCAAACTTGACTGAAGACCTATCTGCATGTGCTGAACTGCTTCTTCGCCCTTGGTACGGACTTCGACTTGCTTCTTTTAGTGCATCTGCTGATGGAGCACGGTAGTGAGCTCTCATAGACGACTCTCCTTCAAAAGTTGTTTGTGGAAGCTTCCTTTCACGACTCCCAGAACTTGTGCCTGAAATCAATTGCCGCAAGTCCTCCAATGGTGGCACTCCGTAGTCATGATGTGCCGTTGACCCTCCTTCAAAACGAGCAAATGCTGTTGCAGGCTCTCTCGAAAATGGCTCAACCGGAGGTGTAATCCTCAAAGACTCCGGTGGCGGTGCTTGATAGTGTGCCTTCATGGACGACTCCTCTTCGAAGGGACCAGTGACTGGTGCAGGTGGCCCACTCGCAGTTGCATCTTTGTCTAGCCGCTCACGCTGCCAAAATTCCAGTGGTGGTGCCCTGTAGTCCATGCGACTGGTCAAGGAAGCTTCAAACTTGACTGAAGACCTATCTGCATGTGCTGAACTGCTTCTTCGCCCTTGGTACGGACTTCGACTTGCTTCTTTTAGTGCATCTGCTGATGGAGCACGGTAGTGAGCTCTCATAGACGACTCTCCTTCAAAAGTTGTTTGTGGAAGCTTCCTTTCACGACTCCCAGAACTTGTGCCTGAAATCAATTGCCGCAAGTCCTCCAATGGTGGCACTCCGTAGTCATGATGTGCCGTTGACCCTCCTTCAAAACGAGCAAATGCTGTTGCAGGCTCTCTCGAAAATGGCTCAACCGGAGGTGTAATCCTCAAAGACTCCGGTGGCGGTGCTTGATAGTGTGCCTTCATGGACGACTCCCCTTCGAAGGGACCAGTGACTGGTGCAGGTGGCCCACTCGCAGTTGCATCTTTGTCTAGCCGCTCACGCTGCCAAAATTCCAGTGGTGGTGCCCTGTAGTCCATGCGACTGGTCGAGGAAGCTTCAAACTTGACTGAAGACCTATCTGCATGTGCTGAACTGCTTCTTCGCCCTTGGTACGGACTTCGACTTGCTTCTTTTAGTGCATCTG